CCAACTTATTCTGATTTACGAAGATATCATGGATGACGCAATCTGTGTTTGCTGACAAGAATTTTTCGGTCATAGTAGGTTGACCATTGCTCAGGCTAAGTAGACTAGGGTGTTCCGATGACCCCGGGACGACGGAGTCATAGACATCTTGACCGGGTTGTCAAGAAATAAAAAATCAACAAACAAAATAAACAAAACAAAAAAATGTTTTTTCCTGCTAGCTTTGTTTTGCGGGGGTACTGAAGAAAAGGCAAAATTCATCGCAAATGCATCCTTGATTTTCTTTACATGTTATAGAGTATGTTAACTCTGTTTTACGGGATGATCGTTCTAGCCACTCAAAACATTGGCCAAAAAGATGAACCACAACTAAACAAAACTCTAGGATTGTTTGGTATCCACTACCCTTTGGATAGGACTATGACATTCCTTTCATTGACATCATCTTTGAACTTTTCTGAGAACAAATTTAAACCTTAATTGGAAGTTTTCTTAAGTAATCATGAATTATTTAAGGTGTAATTAATTATAGGGACTTGTCTCTATAGAAAGATGTAAATCTCAGAATAGGCATATCAACCTGAAATCTCTAGTAATTAGCTTTAGTCATTTATGAAATTCATATCCTTAAAACTGATAATGCAAATAACTATTTCAATCCCATTCTCGGGTCCTATATTTCAAAAGATGGAACCATTCACACAAGCTCGTGTATTAATAACCCACAACAAAATGGGATTGCTGAGAGAGAGAACATACATCTTCTTGAAGTATCCTACTCAATTATGATTTCTCATCAAGTTTCAAAATATTTTTCGAGGGAATATATTCTTACTGCAACATACATTCTCAATTGAATGTCTAGTCTGGTACTTAACTTCAAAACATCTATTTATGCTTTGATGGTTATCCATCTACACATCAAAGCTTTCCTTTCTACTATACCACTTATAATTTTTGGAAGTGTATCATTTATTCACATCCATTACTAAATTCGCACAAAATTTGACTCTAAATCTATTAAGAGTATTTTTTCTGGATATGCCACAAACAAAAAGGGGTATAAGTGTTAGTCTTCTATTACCAAGAAAAACTACAACTTCATAGATGTCATATTTTTTGGAAAGCAATCTTACTATCCTAAACCTAATGTTCAGGATGAGAGCGTAAATGAATATAAATTGTGAGATGCACTTAATGACATCTACACAGCCTCACTACCTACTCCACCTAGCCCTCCTATCCTGGTTGAGGATGCCCAACCAATCCAACCAACTCAGCCTAAAGTTCATAACTAATGAACTTTGTGTGTACACAAGAAGGAAGAAACCCTCGATCAGGTGACAGACGACTTGCAAGAATAGAATTGTTCAAAACAAAACCGGAGTCTACAAAATATGAGTCTAGTAATCATGAGTTATCCCGTTCCTCTTCTAATGTGGGTGACAAGGAAAGCAATATTAAATATCAAATTTAGTAGTATGTAGGAAATGGGAGTTATCATCATACTATAAAGTTTTTGTTTATAATTCTCATCCTACTCAATTATGATTTCCCATCAAGTTTCAAAATATTTTTGAGGGGATATAATCTTACTGCAACATACATTCTCAATTGAATGTCTAGTCTTGTACTTAACTTCAAAACAACTATTTATGTTTTAATGGTTATCTATCTCACATTAAAGCTTCCTTTTCTACTATACCACTTAAAATATTTGGGTGTGTTTCCTTTATTTACGTCCATTACTAAAATCACAAAAAACTTGACTCTAACTCTATCAAGAGTATTTTTCTTAGGTATGTCACCAACAAAAAGGGGTATAAATGAGCCTTCTATTACCAAAAAAGACTACAACTTCATGGAGGTAATATTTTTTTTTAAAGCACTACTACTACCCTAAATCTATTGTTCAAGATGAGAGTGCAAATGAATATACATTTTTATATGCACTTAATGACATCTACACTACCTCACTACTTACTCCACATAGGCCTCCTATCCTAGCAGAGGATGTCCAACTAATCCAACTAACTCAGCCTGAAGTTCATAACAAAGAACTTTGTATGTACACAAGAAGAAAGAAAAACCTTGATTAGGTGAAAGACAGATTACATGAATAGAATTGTTAAAAAAAACCAGAGTCTATATTCACCTGAAATTTCAGGTCAAGAGTCTAGTAATCATGAGTTATTCGGTCCCACTTTTGCTGTGGGAAACAAGGAAAGCTATTTTAAATATCCAATTTATGAGTATGTAGGATATGGGAAGCTATGCTCATCCTACAAAGTTTTTGTTTATAATCTTGATATTGTGCAAATTCCTAAATCCATTCATGAAGATCTTGATATTGTTAATAATAATAAAATATTTTATTGTTATCGTCATACTTGTAATTTTATCGTCCCATTAGTAAAAGGGAAGTTGAAGCAACTTTAAAAAATACAAAGGGCGAAAAATCAGAAGGACCTAATGATATCCCTATTGAAGTGTGGAAATATTTAGGAGATTTGAGAGTTTCTTGGCTTACTAAACTCTTTAATATTATTTAAAAACTAAAAAGATGTCTGAAGAGTGGAGGAAGAATTGGTCCCCATTTTTAAGAATAAAAGGGATGCAAAAGTGTATGCAAATCATAGAAGAGCTAAGCTAATGTGTCATACTTTAAAATTATGGGAGAGACTAATTGAACATAGGTTAAAACGTGATATAAAGATTTCTCATGATCATTTTGGATTAATGTCAGACAAGTCTACTATGAAAGTTATACATTTATTGAGAGGTTTGGTGGAGATGTACAGAAAGAGTAAGAAGGATCTACATATGATTTTTATTTATGTAGAGAAGTCTGACGATAAAGTTCTAAGTGTTGATATGACTTATATTCAAGTCATTGAAATTATGTATACTAAACTTGTTACTTGTGTTCGAACAGAAAGAGAACTGACCAAGTATTTTACTATTTCAGTTGGATTACATCAGAGATCGGGTTTAAGCACAAATCTATTTGCTTTAGTTACGGATGCTCTTACTAGACATTCATAGGACGATGAACCTTGGTGTATGTTTGTTGCTGATGATATCCTTTTTGTGGATAAGACTAGAGAAAAAATTCAAAAAAAAAATTTGAATTATGGAGGTCTACATTGGAGTCCAAAGGCCTTCGATTGAGTAGATCTAAGACTAAATACATGAAATGTAATTTTAGTAGTTGTAGTTCTAGTGGCAAAATTATAACTATAGGTGATCAAATCATTAAAAGGTGTGAATATTTTAGATATCTCGGATCTGTTGTTCAAAGTGATGGCCATATAGTTAAGGATGTTATTAGTAGAATTCAAGTTGGTTGGCTAAAGTGGAGGAATGCATCGGGCCTATTGATCGGGCCTATTGTGTGATATCGGGCCTATTGTGTGATAGAAAAGTACCACTTATAGTTGTAAAAATGTTTTATAAGATGGTGGTGAGACATGCAATGTTCTATGTCGTAGAATGTTGGCCTTTAAAAGAAAAGCATAAAAGAAAAGTTAAGTGTTGCTAAGAAGAGAATACTCGGATGAGTTGCTTGATACATAAAGATAAAATGCAAAACAAATCTATCTGTGAAAGGGTTGGTGAGGCTCCACTGGCACGCAAAATTAGAGAGAGTCACCTGAGATGGTTTGATCACATAAAACACCGACCATCTGATGATACGATTATGAGAGTAAACATATTAGATTTCACTTATGTTAAGAAAGGAAGAGGTAGACCTACAAAAACTTGGGCATATAGCATATAAAATAAACTTAATCTATAGAATTAAATGAAAAATTGACACTCAATAGGACACAATGGAGAAAAAAGATTCATGTTGCCGGCCTCTCTTAGTGGGATAAAGGCTTGTTGTTGTTGTTGTTGTTGTTGTGGCTACTTGTTATATGAGATCAAGGTAGCTTTATAGATAGAGGACTAAATTTACCACTTGATTACAATCACAGATCAACTTGAGCGTTTATGAAAAAGAAACCAACCAAGTTTCAATAATTTCTCTTGATTTGAAACGTAAAAAAACCTTCTGATATAGGGAGATATTTTTAGATCCTTCCACACATGAATGGGAGATAGGAGAATATCAACATGATGTATTTTGTAGCTTAAAATTTAAACAATTGCTCGTTAAATCAAGTTGATGTGTATGCATTTGATGGTTGGAAAGTATAATTAAATGAGCGGGATGCTGAGTGGTAAGCGTTAGTTAGGATGTAGAATTAGAATCCAAAGAATAATTATAACCTTTTAGTTTAATTTTATATATCCCTTGCTTGCTCATGTTATTTTGGTATTACTCATCATTTTCTATGGTAATTTAAGGGTAACTGAGATTATAGCAGATGCCAAAAAATCATTGCATGTTGAAATAGCCTTCTTCTTGACCATAGGTAATGCATAAATGGCCCATCAAACAATATGGCTTAGCAGTCTCTAAGGAAGGATGCATAAAATTCCATTGAGAAAGAAATACCAGTCCATTGACCTTGTAGTCGAAGACATGGATTATGCTATAAAAAAATTTCTAGGATTATTAATCAAATTATATGCTAGAATTGCATTTAGTGCACCAAACAGTCAGACCTATATCATCAAACCTTAGAATACCACTTGTATCATAGTTAAATCCCAGACATAAAATAGGTGATTTAGAAAACCAATCCTATGCATAATTATTGGAATGAGGCTATCTTTAGTTTGTCATCCTGATAATCTTCAATCAATTAAGGAAAAAAATAAAGGTTAAAAAGCCCCAAAACCCTTTTGACCTCTGATGTCACAGAAGTTTTAATGTAGCACTCCACATTGAATTGATGAAGAAAACATTTACTGTTAAAGCATTCTAAATTCTAGAAAACAATACATGATTAATAAATCATCATAGAATAGAAATAATTTCAAATGAAGACATTCCAAAGCAATGCATCTTTGAAGTGAAGTTATTGATGCCTCAGAAAGAAAATACTAACCTGGAAAAATGTCCATCAAAACTTCCATAATGTAGTAAATGACCGAGGATGAAGCCATGCATAATAAACCAGAATATTTAGACCCACTCCACACCCACAAGAAAATCTGACTTAGGAAATTCACCTCTGCCTCAACAATGGTAAGATTTGTTTCCTGCAGATAAAAAAACATGCAAGAATGAAGAAATTTACAAATTAGTCATTATTCATTCATAGGAATACTAGCCAATCCACATAACTTTTCGTTACGATCACAACCTTTCAAACTAACAAATTAAGCACAATTTTCATGATTAACTGATTCAAAAACAAAATTAAACTTTAGATCCAATGTTATAACTTTATCTACAATAGACTTGAATCTGATATGTTGACAAATGCTTCTATGCAGATGGCCCGCTACATGCAAGCGAACTTACTACCAATATGTATCTTTACTCCTAAGGATTTGGATGTATATCAGTATCCTTCAAAAATAAAGGAAAAGAGGATTCAAAGAATATCAATTCCATGTAGTCGATCACATTGAATACCCAACATTGATCTATAGATCAACATTTACCAAAAAAAAAAAAAAAGTGCATTGTATGTACGTGCTTTTGATAATATCATATGTACCAAGCATCAAAATCTAGGGGACTTTACGACTTCATTTCAACATGTATTGGACAATGCGAACATGTCATCAAAAGGCCATTTTCTGTAATGAAACGCTTACTTGTGTAGCTCTCTAGAGGATGTAACAAAAAAAAAAAACAAAGTGATGAACCCTCAAGATTTCAACCAGAGATTACTTCTACACTAAAAAAAATGGTCCAATCAACTTTGCTAGTTATAAGTGACATATATCACAAAAGTCCCAATGAAAATTAAAACCTCCAATAAGCTTCAGACACCCCTAAAGATATATGACAAACCCATTGGCCACTGACAATACAAACCTATTGGCCAATGACAATGACCGAAAAGGGAGAGTATTGAGTAGTTAAAAAGTATTTAGCACACGAAAAAAAAAGCACAAGCTGCTTCATAGAAAAGGATAATAAGAAAATGATACTGCAGGAAAAGCTAGAGAAGGTTCAAGAAAGAGAATACAAAAGAAACTAGTTGAGGATAGAGAGGTAAAAAAATTAAACTAGGGAAGCCACAATTTCTTGGTGGTCCTGCGATTCCACTAGCATACACTAATTCTCAAAGTTCCTAATTGGAAAATCCTATACCATATCTGCTTCTTAAAGTCGGTTAAGTCTCACAATCCCCTTTTATGAGGCTTAGGTGGGGAACTCAGGTAGAAGGAAGAATAAATTTAATGTCAACTGGATAATGAACCCTAGATGAGGAGCATCTTGTAGGTTTTCTTCATCCTTGATCCCTTAAATGTGTTTAATTAGAAACAAAGGAATTGAAGAAAGTAAAACTTTTGAATTGAAGAAAGTTGGGCTTTAAGAGAAGAAAGAAAAAGGAGATTAAAGAACAAAAATGATAGAAAGTTTTCTTATTCAAGTGCTTAGGCAATGTAATAGCAGAGATACTTCAACTGATAGGAGCGGAAAAGGAGAGAATAAAGAGTAAGGAATCTTTAAAGTTCAAGTGATTGTTTAGTAAATGTGATGTCCGCACTTTCCACACATAATTTGAACCATACACGTGTTAGAGAGTTATCAATTTGCGCTAGCACTAGTAGTAATTATCACTTGAATTAAGAAACTAGGCCATTTGATGTAGATGGCTTAGCCCAAGAACAAGTATGAGGGCTCTCAGTCCAGACTGGTCAACTATCTACCGTTCCTGCTTCCCTAAAAATGTCTTTGTACTTTTCACTCAAACGCAAGAGTCCACTCATCATAAATAACCTCATTTCAGCTCCTCTACAATTAACACCCACCAAAACAATTACTAATAATCTTCTAGCTAGTACTTCCATCCATCGACTGACAACTCATCTTCAAGCCATGATTTCTAATAAATGCTTTACCCCTGTTCAATGCTTCCTTCAATACCCTGGCAACTGACCTTTATATAACTATCTCTTATCTGGCAAATAGCAACTAGTATCGCCTCGCCGATTTTGTCTCCATCCCCTCTAGCAACAACTCAAGTAATGATTCTAAACTCGTTAAGGAAAATAATGAGTAATTATGTATTTTTAATAGACTCAATTAAGCTTGATTATTTATTACTAGGAGATAATTAAAAAATTTGAATAGTGGTTGAAGCGGTGTTGTAAGATCTAGGGTTTGTTAAAAACTAAGGAAGCTAGTGAATCAGAGTTTTAGTACAAGTTTCTAAATAAAACTTTATAACATGGATTCCTAAGTTTTACAAGGTAATAAAGTATGAAAAATATAGCATTTAAATTTTGAAATATTAGCTTGCTAATAGTGGTGATTTTAGTTTAATTGGATGTGTGGTGATTTTAGTTTAATTGGATGTGTGTTTAGAAAATCATAAATTTTATTTTAGGGCTAATAGAGTTACAGATGAATCAAACTTAGTTAAAATGTTAAATAAAAGCTTGCTCAAGCTCAAACTCATTTGTTAAAACACCGATCAAGTATTGCCCAATATCAATATGGGTATATGTGATAGCGTTGAAGTTCGATTGCTTTAAGATCATGTTTCTTTAAGCTTAATTAGAGCTTAACACAAGTCAAATTGCGATTATTGAACTTGTTTGGTCAAAAAAATAAGCATCATCGATCCAAATAATGAGCCATGCTATTAAGCAACTTACTATCAAGTCAAATGAGCCTTATCAAATTTATGAAAGGGTAACACTATCGATTGGCATGTTAGCCAATCTTATGTGCCTTATCAAGCATAGCAATCAACACATAATCAAGTCTAAAATGAGACTTTAACTGAATAAGCTACTGAATAAATGAATATTTTAACAAACATAAATAAGTAAATTGTAAACATAAAAACATGAAAGAAAATAAGGAGCATTTTATCATTTGAAGGGCTCGGACTAGAATAACTATGACCAAAAAAAATTTTCAATTAATGATGTTATCCTTTAGGCATAAATTGTCCAACTAGTCAAGATGCGCAGTATGCAATGTGGGCGAATCCTTTTATGAATTGAAAAAGAAAACTTTACACAATTTAAGTATACAAGCTCCTTTTGGGGTATATAAATTATGAATATAAGGATATCTATTGCACATAGAAAATTTGTAAAAGAGATGGAGGAGAAACAAGAAAGAAAATATCGTATAGTTCACCCATTTTGCTTATTTCCCGAAAATATATCTATAGTCATGGTCTGCAATTCATCGGTTTGCAAAAGTAGTTCTTAAGTGGATACTTGAGTTCCATCAGATATGTCAAATTTTGGATAAAGATCTTTAAATTTCAATGAAAAGTTATGATCCCGCACTTATTCACTTACACCATATCAAGAAACCAATGTAATAGTTTGAAATACATTTTATTGTTTATGGTGAAATAGTCCTTCACAAAAACCAAAAATATTTATATCTTAAAATTAATTGTTCGGGAATGTTTATTTGTGAGCTTTCTAATATACTTGATGGTAGCTAATGTCTCCATTATGAAAAACTCCTTTAATTTCCATGCATATGACGAGTTCTACATTTTGCAAAATGAAGAGCAAGGTTTTTCTCAAACTCTTCTGCAAATATTAATTAATATAATACACATCACGAAGGCCTAAAACAATTGATAGATTGTCTCAGCTAAAATCTGTAGATCATGGGCTAACTTCATGAAATAATTTTTCTACAATGTAACGATAAGGCTACATACATCAACCACTTTCCAAAACTTTTGAGTTATACCAGAATTTTAACGAAAAGGCCAGTTAGTCACAATAGAGTTGCTCATCAAAGCAAACTAACCAATCACGAACTTGTAGCATTGACGAGGACAAACGAACTAGATGCAACATTTTTTACTCTGGAGAATATTCAATATCAGTTAACTTACAAATTTAAGACTGGACTCCCGCAATAAGGGGAAAGGAGAACAGAAACAAAGGAAGACAACCTTCAGACAGCAGTGTGGAATATGGAGATCTCATGGTCGTTCTAATGACCAATTTCCGTAAGATAAATTCCAATGTTTCGAATTTATAAATAGCCTCGGCTAAAGCTGTCTTCCAGGATCGTAAAATAGCAGGAATATCGCAGGAATGACAAAATGCACGAATCCTATGCCTCAAAAGGTTTCCAACCATAGAATCGGATACAGTATAGGCGTAGACAATTGCTTGATATCATCAACTGCTAGACTCATCATATGCGGGGCTAAGACAAGGAGGAGAGATCATAGTTCTTTCTAAAGGTATAATCGAGATTTACTCTTCATTTCTTTCGTGGCTAATATACCTCCGAAAAATCAACAACCACAGCTCCTGGCACTCAGCGATCAAGAGAGTGGGATCTGGGGCTAACCTTTGGGGGTCGCTTCCTGGCATAAGACACGGAGAAGATAGTCATCCGGCGGGGCTCGTCGCCCAACTCCACCAACAGTGGGGAGATCTCGCCGGCGACGTCCGGGTCGTTCACTTTAACAACATGAACCCCGCTACTGCTTCCACTTCCTCCTATTTCGCCGTTTCCAATATCGACCAAAGCCATCGCCTTGCAAACCGACCTCCCTGCCCTCTCCCCCGGGAAAGAAGTCAGCCAACGAGCTTCCGCAACAAATGTACCAGTTCGATAATTTTCCTCTTAACCGCCAACAATCAGCTGTGGGACTTTTTTTTCCTTTTTTTTTTTGGGAAAAATTATGAAGTCAAAAAAAAATTATTTCCGGACTTCAATAAAATCTTAACATGTGCCATCTGTAAGCTGTGATCCTTCTACATAAAAGATGAAAATTTATTTTATTTTAATGAGTGACCCGGCCCAAATAAGCCATTGTTTCGAAATTCTATTTAGTTTTTTTGTGGGGTTATTGAGGTGTTATTAATGTTTATTGTGATGTTATTAGGGTGATATTATAGCAGTTGTAGTGATATTGTGAATTTTTCTATGATTGGTGTTATTGAGGTATTTTTGTAGTGTTATTGAGGTTTATTGTGGCATTATTTGTTTGGTATTGCGGCGTTTGCGGTGTTATTGCGGTATTTTTGTGAAGTTATCGTTGTTATTTGGTGTTATTGTGGTTTTTTGTGAAGTTATTGAGGTTGTTTGGTGTTATTGTGGTTATTTGGTGTTATTGTGATTTTTTTGGGAGTTATTAAGGTGTTATTGAAGTTTATTATGGTGTTATTTGAGTAGTATTGCGACAGCTATAGTGTTATTGTGATTTTTTGTGGTATTATTTGAGTGGTATTGCTTTTTTTTGCTGGTGTTATTGTGATTTTTTTTGTTGAGTTATTGAGGTTTATTGTAGTGTTATTTGAGTGATATTGACATGATTGTGGTTTTTTTGTGATTTTTTTTTGTGTTATTTGAGTGGTATTGTGGTTTTTTTTGGGCTGGTGTTATTGTAAATTTTTTGTTATGTTATTGTGTTATCTGAGTGGTATTGCAGCGACAATGATTGTATTTTCAAATTGTATTGTTTCAGTATTATTGCGATAATATTGTGGTGTTAGTAAGGTGTTATTTTGGTTTTATATGAGTGGTATGATGGCAGCTTTGTTATATTATTCTCGACTAGAGTTATTATGGTGTTATTACAGTTTTTCTTGGTGTTATTGATGTGTCATTGGGGTTTATTGTGGAGTTATTGAGATTATTTTGTGTTATTGCAGTTATTTGGTGTTATTGCATTTTTTATGTGGAATTATTGAAATGTTATTGTGGTTTATTATGGTTTTACATGATGGTATTGAGGACGTTGAGGTAGTATTGTTGTTTCGTTGTGGTGTTATTGAGCTTTTTGGTGTTATTGAGGTTTATTGTGGTGTTTTATAATGATATAACCCTACCTGATGGCGTGAGAAGAAAATGGATATTTAACATTGACACGAAGGGTCTTGTTTTCGAAGAAATGGGATGGGTTAGGTCGGTCGTGCATTAAAATATAAAGGAGTTTTTCATTTTTTATTCAGTGAGATCACGACTTCCACATGGTGAAATTTCCTTGTAGTCTAGACGCATAGCAGCATTCGGTCTCCGGATGTAATGTTTTTTCCTTTCTTTGGAGGATGAGAATTTACCCATCTCACACTTAGATTTTAATTTTTACAGAAAAATACCATATGCAAACTTTATTATTTACAAAAAAAAGCACGTAAAACTTAAATAACCATATAACCAGCACTGTGTCTCCCCTTCGTCACTTTCTCCTCTTCGGCATATTTGAGTTTATCAGAGTTGATAACTCAATGACGGTGGATTTCCTGGTCTAGGGGCCTCTCTGATTGAAGTCCCCTACTTGAAAACTTTTTCATGGATCATCTCCTGAGAAGCTCCCATACAGAACATCTTTGATGAGCACGCAAGCAAAGTAATGAGTGGAAGCTGACGCTTTGGCACTGCTCCTCCCTCCTCTGACAATTTCATTTGCTTTGCAGAGTCAAGCTCTACGCTTTCTTCTCTAATGAAGGGAGCCGACAAGTAGCTGATTATTTAAAATGGCTCTTTAAATCTACTAAGGGTTTGACTTTAATGGTCGAGAAGATGGTTGTATTTAATTGAGAGGTATGCCTTGAAAGTTTCTACTATTGTATTTTTTTGGTTTTTCGGTGTCATTACCAGAACCTACATAATTGTGATAAATGCTGGGGTGGATCAAGTTTCTGACACCGTTGTCGGGGACTTAATAGTAAAAAAATTTAAGAGACTTTGAGTTGAATCAATTAGACTTAAATTTTGAAAATCGTCTTGTAGTTTTCCTTTGAAAGTGTTTGTTTATGTGTTATAAAAAAAGGTTATTTTTAACTATTTTTCAAGTGTGGTTGTGTTAAACTTACTAGTTGAACCTTTTGTTGTGTATGCGTAGTGCCGGAACTGCATTGTACCCTATGGCTCAAAACTAGAGAGGACTATTAGAAGAATAGAAAACATAAAAGACTTCACAAATTTATAGAAGAAAAGACAAATATTCAACAGAATAATTTAGATAACTAAATACCAATTAATGAACATTCTAACGCACATAGACCATTAAGGGATTACTCTAATCCTACAACAAAATGACCCAACCCACAATTACGCAATTATTTAAGTCCTGAAAGATGGCCAAAAGCTTGGCCTAATTTATATTAAGTGGCTAGTGTGCAAAATTAAATATTACGTAAAGTTGATAGAAGGTTCACATACTAAGATTACTACGCAAGCATACGTATCGTTTCAAGTAATATAGGACTCTAATGGAGTTCTAAGTATTGATCCACAAGGATAGGTAAAACTCTTATAGGTTGAATTTATTAAAATCCACTTTAAACTGCAGTTAACTTATTTTGGAAATGGTAAAAACATTTGTCGACACTATTTAGTTAAGGAGTTGCCTGTTGAAAGCTGTCGGCCACCGGAATTGAAATCATGTCGCCCGCTTTGGAAAGACATTTACTTTATATATATATATATATATATATATATATGAAGAATCTTAGGACCACTTATTTTTCACTTGTAATTTCTCCCAAAGAATCTGGTCAGGGCTAATAAATCTTCTGAACATTGATACTTGCCACTTAAGTTGGTTTAAGTTTATTACTTGCTGGGAGGATTAACATAACAGTAAGCTTTTGGTAATCCTTTGTTTAGTTGCATGGTTTACATGGATGTGCAGAAATCAAATCAAGTTTGATGAACACTTCCCTGGATCAAATTCTGTGACATTAAACTGCACCTCTTACATTCAAAAATTAATTAAGTATCATCACTTCCCAAATGTTATTAAGAATTGGACCCCAACCAAGACCAATTCTCATCCACCTAAATCCAGATTAATTTTTTGGAGCCCGCCGACTAATGGTAGGCTGAAGATTAACACTGATGGTAGTTTTTCTAAAGGTAATGCTGGTATTAGGGGAATCTTTAGGAACTCTCATGACACTCCTATCTTGTATTTCACTGCTCCTATAGTGCCCTTGATGCTTTGGAGGCAGAATTTAGAGCTATTTACTGGGCTATCCGAATTGCACATCAATGTCATATGGGCCCTCTGATTGTAGAAACTGACTCTAGTGTTTGCATTAATATTTTGCTCAATGATGAAGCTCCTCCTTGGAGTCTACTTTAGTGGAAAAGCTAGTTGACTGCACTTTTACACTACTGTAGGGTGGAATTTAAATACATCCCTAGGGAGGGAATCTGCCCTTCACATTGGCTAGCCTCCCAAGGAAGAAACACTAAGCAGAGCTATATTGGGAATGCTATTAACTCGCATCTATCTTTCCTTCTTAATGGAGATAATATGACTCTCCCTTATTTTACTATCTTGTAACAATTTTGTAGTGATGTATATATATACACATATACACACACACAGATATATATATATATATATATATACACACACACACACACACACATATATATATATGTATACACACACACACACACACACACACACACACACACACACACACACACACACA